GGGGGGGGGGGGGGTTTCCAGCTGGAGTTCCATCTCAGCACGAATATAATATTGAAATCTGATTTTTGCTGACATGGAAGGGTATAAATGAGCTACTTTGTTAATAAATGGAAGATAAAATTATTCTATTTCTAATCGTTCACGGACATTTTTGGCCTTTTTCCGAAATTAACTAAGGCTTCGAACCATTGGGCCAAAAAGGGATTCTATGCGCTGATCAGTTGGTTACAGTGTAATACTTGAACTGGACACTCCAATGGCAGGACAATTCAGTCCTAAAACCTCTTAAATCGGAAATGATTACATATCGGTTAATAAGATATACTACCAGTTATTAACATAAAGTTTCTTGCATTTTAAACACGCTATCCTATTTAAGAGATTTGAAAGATCTATGCACCCCTGTAATATAGGGAACACATATTTAGCTTATGTGTAAAAGAGATACATATCTTATGTATGTAAAAGTAAATTTTCTATGTAAGAAAAGTGACAGGGTCATAAAACTAAACCCACAAAATCATTTGACCCGTTGGAGGACATGGTCCTTCATGGCGATAGATGAAAGAAAGTTGGATGTGTAATAAATGTAGTGAAAGAAGTGAAAGGTCCCTACATTTTGTGGAACTGAAGTAAGAGCCTCCACAAAAACGCGTAATTTTAAATTCCTTTTTGAAAATTTTCGATTATTCAAAAGTTTCAAAGCCTAGAAAGCACCTCTCAATAACTCTCCTTTATTTTCCATCGACTTCAAATGCAGAAAAGTCAGAATCCAATACCAAAAAGTTGTGAAGACTTCAAAGACTGAAAAATCAGATTGAATCTTCCTAACAAAATGAGCACAGCCATTCTATTTATACCACGTTTAGCTAGCTTTTGAGTAGATGTGGATGGGAAAGACAGATATGAGTTTCTTGACATGGCTGGGGATCATTCTAATATTCCACTTTTACTACCTTTTCTACCTCAGCATAGCACAGCCTAATTTCGCTTTTCAATCGCCATGTGAAGGTAATGAGACAGAGTACTCTCCGAATGGTGCATATGGCACAAACCTTAACACAGTCCTCTCCTCTCTTTCACGTAACATAGATAGTGATGGGTTTTATAATACTTCCATAGGCCAAGATCCAGACAAGGTTAGTGTCATCGCGCAGTGTAGAGGAGATGTCGATTTACAAACATGCCGTGACTGTATAAAAAATGCAACTCGCTTGATTTTAGAGCTATGTCCTCAAAAGAAATCCGCCTTTGGTATTTATGATAAGTGTCTGATAAGATATTCGAATGAGTCCTTCATAGGCACAGTCTCAACAGACCCACAGAAAATTTATTATTACAACCAAAATTTCTCGAACCCGCAATTGTTCTTTAACCGATATTTGACACCCGTGTTGGAAAATTTACGAAGTCGAGCTTCAGAGGGTGGGAAGCGTAAGTTTGCTGCTAATATTACTAATGCCCCTGATTTTGCGAGGATATATGTACTTGTACAGTGCACAGCCGATTTATCCGCTGACGATTGCTTCAATTGTTTGACCACTGGCTATCAAACTCTACCTAGTTGTGAGTGTTATGCAAAGCGGGGAAACTACTATTTGATGCCCAGCTGCATTATTCGGTATGAACCTTACTCTTTCTTCAACGAGTCATTTGCTGAAGCTCCGCCATCGCCACCACCTGCCTCGTTGCCACTGCCACCACCAGCTTCACCGCCACTGCCACAACCAGGTATTTGAAATCTTTATGGAATTGTTAGCCACTTCATCTTTGTATTCAGCTTCTGGGGATACGCTAAGTCTAGCCTCTTATTTTGGCCTGAGCGGCCTCAATTGCAAAGAAGATCCAGATCCCCCATAGCTGTTCTCCAAGAGGAGTGGCTGAGATTCAATTTAACTGTGTAAAGAACGTTTATACCATAAGTGTATTTTAACACGTTCTAGTAGTTTAAGTGACTTGTTTTTCCAAGATATTGATCCCAATTATCTGTGATTTGAGAGCGTAAAAATTGTTCTAGAATACTGCAAGTCGACAAAAGTTCAGATGTAAGGTGCATATCTATCTATAATTTGTTATAAAATAAAGACGGTAAAGTAAAGACAAGTATAGAGAGAAACTGATATATTATTCGAATTCAAATTGATGTACATAATGAACTGAAATCTCTTCTATTTACAGAAGAAAGGAAGCTGCTGTGTAAGCTGCTACTATACCAGATATGGATAATCTTCTACTATGGGTAATGATTATCCATAACGGAGTATTGAAAGGATAAACTCATTGTACCTGGTATGGATAATCTTCTACCGGGAGTAATGTTTATTCATAACTAGGTACTTATTTTCAATAGAATACTAAATAGATAAATATATTTACGGCGGATTCCCATATGGATAAGCTTCTTCAGGAAGCTTATTTACAACGGAGTACTAAATGAATATCCATAATATAATATATTTATAACACTCCCCCTTGGATGTTCATTAAAATATAATGTGCCTCATTAAAACCTTACTAGGAAAAACCACGTGGGAAAAAATCCTAGGGAAGGAAAAAGAGTACACATATTTAGTAATACGCATTGCTATGTGCCTCATTAAAAACCTTATAAGGAAAACCTCATGGGAAAAAAAACCTTAGTAAGGAAAAAAGAGTGCATCGCGTATTTTACTCCCCTTGATGAAAACCTTGTTTTAAATATTTGAGTCTCCGCACTCCAATCTTGTATACCATCTTCTCAAAAGTTGAAGTTGGCAAAGATTTAGTGAATAAATCTGCTGGATTATCATTTGAACGGATTTGTTGCACATTAATGTCACCACTTTTCTGAAGATCGTGTGTGTAGAATAATTTTGGTGAAATGCGCTTTGTTCTATCTCCTTTTATAAATCCTCCATTCAATTGGGCTATGTATGCAACATTGTCTTCGTATAAAATTGTGGATCTTTTCTCACATTCCAAACCACATTTTTCTCGAATAAAATGAATTATTGATCTCAACCATACGCATTCCCTACTTGCTTCATGAATAGCTATTATCTCAGCGTGATTTGAAGAAGTAGCAACAATAGATTGCTTTGTGGAGAGCCATGATATGACAGTACCTCCATATGTAAATACGTACCCGGTTTGAGATCGAACTTTATGTGGATCAGATAAATAACCTGCATCTCCATAACCAACAAGATCTACACTATCTTTGTTAGCATAAAATAAACTCATATCAAGAGTTCCCTTTAAATATCGCAATATATGCTTAATCCCGTTCCAATGTCTCCGTGTAGGAGAAGAACTATATCTTGCTAGTAAATTAACAGAAAATGCTATGTCAGGCCTTGTAGCATTAGCAAGATACATTAGTGCACCAATTGCACTGAGATAGGGTACTTCGGGACCAAGGAGTTCCTCGTCCTCTTTTGGAGGTCGAAACAAATCCTTATTTACTTCAAGTGATCGAATAACCATTGGTGTACTCAATGGGTGCGCTTTGTCCATGTAAAAGCGT